TGAACTACCACCCATTTACAGATTTGAATTCGTACAGCTAAAGAGTTAGCCAAATCCTTCGCGTTCAGACTTCCAACTGCTTCACTCTTACCTCTTTCATGCTCATACACTAAAACCAGCTACAGTAGAATCTATTCTAAATATATAAAGCTTGGCGCTATTCAAACTTTACAAAATAACTGTTCCAGCAATTATATTGCCCAGGAAATATTCTCCAAAATCGAAAATTGTCCTATGCTTCCAAAGGTTGTAGTTCACCACATACCCAGCCATGCAAATATTTGGGAAAACGAAATTGCTCATCGAGCAGCAAAGAACGCTTCTATACACGGCTCCTTCAAATATGTTAGATGGACATTGAGTGATGCGATCAACTATATATTTCATTACATTCAAGATGATTGGGAAAGAGACTATAACGTATTCTCTATGGAACTTTTGGCCTTTCATCACCAAGAAACCTAGGTTTTATAAAACTGATATTTTCGACCGTATAGACACAAGACGATTAAATAGAATCCTTAGCGGACATGCATTCGATAAGTACACTTTATCAAAAATGAAAGTTTTTGATAATGCTATTTGCGACACATGCAATGCAGTGAAAAATATTTCACATCTTATTTTAAATTGTTCAAAATACTCAAGCATTTCCAACACTTTCATTTTCCAATAAATATAATGATATTTATCGCTTCTTTGCAAATGAACCATTCGACAACTACATATCGATATATATACATATACTACATATATAAAAAAATTTTCGCTAATGCAAGCGCAATTTTAAGATCTCCTGAAATGAGATTTCATACATTAGCTGTGGCGTTAACCCGTTCACACGGGGAGGCCAAATAATTCTTCCACTTCCACTCCAGTGAACATTTAAACGTCGAAAACGAAACAAGACGTTTCCTCTTCAACGTTATAAATCGAATTATTTTTCTCTAATCTTAAGCCTAACTTATTTATTGCGGCGAAGCGGGCCGAATTCGCACAAGAGCGAATATGAGCTTTTGCTCCCGATCCGCTCTAAGCTATCTTAGACTAGATTTAGAGACTAACAATTCAAATTAAAAACAACTTCAAATTCATTTGAAATCCAATCAAATACGTTAACACCGGCCCCGTTGAGGGCCGGTCCGGCTTCGACCCACTGGCAGCCGCGCCAGCTTGTGGACTGCTTTCTATACTCTGCTCCAGAGCTAGTCCTAGTCCTGAGCAAACCAAACAAATAAGGCAATATAGGACTTTAGGGTGGCCTACCTCGAATTTTCAATGTCGTATCACAAAAATCAACACCACATACGGAGAATGGGCGGAGAGCACGAATTCTATCTAAGGGGAATTCTCCCATGATTTGAGTGTTCAGAAGAGGCTTGCATTTAAAGCAGCGTATGCATGACCGTACTGTCTGACTGCAGACTTTGTGCGCATATACGATCCATAAGAGAGCGTTTTAGAGCGTTGAGAGCAATTGAGAGCGTTTTGTCAACAATACTGGAAACTTGGCATAGTACGATATAGGAGCATTAGTCTTTCTTTTGGATCTATCTATTTCATCTTGATACTCGTGCTCTTGGTCTATTTCGATTATTTTCTTAAAGGCTTCATTATATTCGACAGGTGAGGAAACAATATCAGAATTCACTACAAATTTCTTGGATTTCCTTATAAAGCGGAACATATAATAGAACACTCGGAGCAGTTTTAGGTGAGAGGAATATCCTTTGATCACTTCCAATAAATGTGAGGTAGAGACGATGACAGTTAATCCGACCGCATTATTTTTTGCATCAATCTGTATAAGTTCTGGTGACAGATCAAACCCGGGGATCGTCGGCCACTTATTTTCCGGTTTCTTTAAAAACGATGGACCTGTAAACCAGATCGATTCTAGATCGATTCCTCTGGACACTATATCTGCCGGGTTCTGTTTAGTTGGTACATGCCGCCACGTGCTATCATCTGACCACTCTTGAATTTCAGCAACTCTATTCGATACGAACGTTGACAACGACGATGGATGGGAACGAATCCCATGAAGAGTTACTTCTGAATCCGACCAAAATACACTTCGTTCGATCGTAACTTTTATTAGAGGCTTTATCTTGCGGCAGAGATCTGCGAGAAGGTGAGCGGCACATAACTCAAGACGGCGGAGCGTCTTTGTCTTGAGCGGCGCTACTTTGGACCTAGCCGTCAATAATGAAACTTTAATACCTTCTACAGATTCGCAACGAATACAGACGCAGGCTCCATAGGATCTCATCGATGCGTCAGAAAAGGCCTGAATTTGAATCGGTGACATCGGCTCGGTAAACACGAATCTCGGAATTGAGATGTCCTCTAATTGCAACAAGGCAATTTGTATTTTGTTTCATGCTGTTTCTAAGTGAAGTGGAATCGACTCATCCCAATCTAGCTTATTTAGCCAAAGTTCAAGCAATAGGATTTTTTCTTTTATAAGTATAAGGCTTAATAAGCCAAAGGGGTGAAACAGCTTCGATGTCACCGAAAGAATGATCCAAATTTAATTCAAATTTAAATATATTTTCTTTAGCAACCCAAGCGATTCCCAATGCTTTAGTCAGTTCTGAGTCCGAAAGTGTTATTGGCTTAACCGTGCTCACGGATGCAGTACTTTCAGGCGAGTTTTTGAAAACCACTCAACTTTTTGAAAACTGCTCAATTCAAACCCAGCGCTTTGAAGAACCTGAGTTACTTCAGACTTAATTGTCATTAGCTCCTCATTGCTCCTCAGGTGACAGAAGCTTTTTTAAAAGTTTGTACTTCTTCCTACGAACAGAATTTTTTCAAATTGCCATCTATCGACTCGAGTAATTATTTTTGGTAATTCCAAGCAAGGTTTTGGTAACACGATTCCTCTCTACGGATCTGTAAGCGTTGAGCAAGATCTTCAGTAATAAAGTTCATTTGTGACCCAGAGTCAATTAATGCTCGGGCCATAATGTGCTCGCTATTTTTAGTTATAACGCTTACGATCGACGTCGCTTAAAAAACCCTTTCTAGGGATGACGCATGCAAAGCATGTGACGTAGAAGGGCCATCAAGATGTAGGTGCAGAAGTTTGGGGTGCGATCTTGCACAAATTTGACGCCTAGCCGATTTACACTTCGCAACCGTGTGACCTTTTCGCAGACAATTTAAACATAATGAGGCTGACTTGACAAACTCAAACCGTTGCATTACAGCAAGGCGAGCGAACGGAATACACTGGGCAAGACTATGGTCTTGTGCGTTGCAATAACTGCAAGCTTGTTTGTTGGAAGCGGAGCAAGCTAACGAACTTCTATTGTGCTGCTTCCCGAATCCAGTTTTCTCCTGTTTTGGCTTGATAGTCTCTTCAGCAGACAGGGGCTGGACCTACGAAACTTTCGGAGGCTGAATAATTTTCTTATTTGGTTCGTAAAGATGAGACATTCGTTATCGCAAACTCTTTTTAGACTAGCAATAGCTTTGTCATAATTACTCTCGGTGATTTGGAATGCCTTGATAGTTCGTAAGTCTTCACCATAGAGGCACGAAATTAAATGGTTAAATTACTCGATAACAGGAATGTTCACATCCTGGTCTACTAATGTCTCAAAGAGAGTCATACAATTTTTCAACTCCGAATAGTTTCTACTGAATTTTGGCAATGCCAACTGGGAAGTCGAGCTCGAGTTGGGGCTGCAGAAATTGCAGTAGTTGATGGGCACTCTTCAGCTATAGTGAAGGCATTTAATAATGACATCACCCATGCCTTAGTTGTTATCTTTAATTTTTCTAAATCGGCTCCAAATTAATTTTGATCTGGTCTTGCAACTCATTTGCCTTAAATATTGTCTTATTTAAAACCTGAAGCCTGCACTCTAGCTCAACCTTTACTAAAGGAACTGACCCAGCTTCCAAACGTTCCTCTAACCAGCGAATGCTTTTTACTTTGACATTTAATCTTCTTCTAAAATCATCAAGAGTCGTGGATTTTAGTTTCTGTTTATTAGTTTCCATTTTCTGATTTTACTTTTTATTTAATAAACAAAATACGATAAATATTAAAAATTTATTATTTTTATTTTTAAATAAAAATTTTTTATTTATTTTATTTATTATTATATTAAAAATTTTTTTCGAAACAAACGAAAACAAACAAACAAACAAAACCGAAAACAATCGAAATAAAGATATTTAATTTAATATCTGGCGAAAACGAACAAATAATTAAATAATATATGGCGAAAAGATAAAATAATTCATTAATTAATTGATAGTCGAATTATGTGATAGTTGAGGCACTGAGTATCCAAAAAAGTTGGTTACCAATGACATGAAAAAGGTGTATACCGAAACAATTATATGGTAGTGCGTCTCCTATGTAGGCGTTGACCCAAAAAGAGGTAGCGTTCCCCCAATGACATTCAGAAGTCCTTACTTCTGAAAATCAAAATTTTACGTGAAATTTGAATAACTCATTTAGTAGGATACCAAATCAAACTGCAAACCACCTTTGTCTAGTTTTGCTTTTAAATAAATAATAAAATAATTTTATTTGTTTATTCTAAAATGGACAAAACTTTGTCTTTGAATCAAGTTTACCCCATAAAACATAATAAACATAAAATTGGGATATATTCAAAAAAAATTTACTTGAATTAGCTTTTCTATAATTAGTAGCTTAAAATTAAGTGAAATGAGGGATACAATTCCTAATATAAATAGTTTCGTTATAATAGGACAAGTTGGCTTTTTCTACAGAAAAATTCGGTATTTCTTAGACATTGTGTCAAAAAAATAATAGCTTTTCAACATGATCATTGAGTTTGCCCAAATGTGTCTGGATGAAATGAAGAGTTCTGTCCTCAATTTTTGTTTTTTGAATATTAATTTAAAAGTTGAACTCGTTACGGAATTACTAATGTAATGCAATATTTAATGTTTTCTTAAATCTTTAAGATTCGGTTTGGTTATATATTTTGAGGATGCCCAAAATGCCATCTTTAGATGCCCAGAATGTCCATATCCAACATGTTATCTAGTGGCACCCGCTTCAGGCTGCCTAGGGAGAAATCTCCCGCAGCACTTGTGGCCACTGTCTTTGTTGAATCACTGCGACTCTGTGCAGACCGAGCAGCAGCCTAATTTGCGCCAGGGTACTTGGTGTTGGCCACGATCATGTTGCCTTTCATGGCCGCTTTAGCCGCTGGCCTCTCCCAAACCCGGACTCGAAGGCACAGATGATTCAGTACTAGCCTGGAAAAAGTAGTTGAAAGCGCTGCCCTACATTGGTGATCTGTAGAGTCTTTGTCGGAGTCGATGATCCGATGACGGGCGAAAGCTGTTTATTAGTGCCGGACACATTTCCTCCAAGTGGCTTCAGACCCAGGGTGGGAGCTTCGAGGCGACGCTTCAGGATGGTAGCCTCCACCACTGGGCTTAGGTTGGAGATGAGAGAACTGGCATTGTCGGGCATCTGACCACTAGGTGGTACCGGAGGAGTATTGCGCGCTCCGCAAATGGTGTAGCGGCGGGACATACTCAACTTTCCCGGCTGAGCAGTCTTAATGGCCGACACATTGGGCGGCTGGCCGAAGAAGGTGTTCATGCTAGAGTCTTGGTACCTTACAGCCGCCACAACGGAGGTTGCCCGGGGACTGACGACGGAATGCACCACCTTGATGGCCCCAGATGTACCACTCACGGAAGATTCTTTGGGGCGTAACTCCTCCATCGAAGCGCCTTTATATCCATTCGACTTGCCATTCATCTCAAGGATACTGTAAGGCATCTTTTCATGCCCCGGTCCGATCATGATAGGAGTAGTCGTCACCTCTACTGACGAGCCCGGCTTAATAACCCTCTGAACCATTTCACGGGGCATAATCCGCGTTTGTCGCGACACTTCTGGTGCTGCCGGCTTTCCGCCGGCACTGGTTGTGGGTGCGCTTGAAGATGGCCCTCGAGGTGACGGTGGCGTAGAAGTCACCTTGGCCGCACTTACCAGGCTAACCAGCTCCCTAAACAGCTGTAACTCCGGATCCGATACGAGCTCAAAGCCAGACAGAGTGTTAATATCAGAGAAACAAAGCTCTCCGGACTCTGGAAAGTCAGTGGCATCATCAAAGGTCTCTATGAGCGATTGAAACACCTTTTTCTTGAACATCATCTTCTGGCGAGGATTCATCTCCGTCATTTGGGGTTTGATCATCTCGAGGAATTTCTCGTCAGTGTTGAGCTCCTGGCTTTCCGTTGAGAGCGACAATTTTACAGGGGATGCGGAATTTTTCTGCAAAGCGCACCCAAGTGATTCCCGCGAATCGTTCATCGCAATGTTGCCCCTTTTCTTTCCTATAATGAGTAAGTGGCTGTTTGGTTTGATAAAAATTCAAACTGATTGGCGGGAGATTCGACTGAATAGCCTTCTGATGGCTTCCCCAAGGTTGCAGTCTGCGGTTCTTGGATTACTTCCGGATTGAAACCAAAACAAGTCAACTCTGCCTCAGAGTTTTCCTATTAAGGGAAAGGGGTCTTAATAAGGGGTCCCTGATTTCGCTGTCCCTTTCCAAATCGCGGCCGTCATCAGCCAGATATAGGTGGGGGTCTAGGAATTTCCGTTCCTCCGCCAAAGGATATAACAGGCGCCGCTGACTTAGCTGTTCCGCAGTTGGCGCCACTGCCTCATGCAATAGTAAACTGTAAAAAATATAACAAAAACAGAAAATTAGGCCGTCCAATAAAATCCCGTCCTACGTGAAGGTACAAGTAGAGCCACACCTGCTGTTGAAACCACCCCAACCCCCAGTATACCAAATCCCGGCCTCATTGGTCGGTTTATCATTAAAAATGATCCAGGTAAAGTTTCACTCAAGCGTTTCTGACCTTGAGGGCTTTTTTTTAATGCTTTTTTTAAATGCAAGGTTAGTTGTTTTTTTTTAAGTTTTATTTGTACTTTACATAAAATGATACAAACCTCAATATACAAAAATGGTATTATAGTTTATTTTAGCTTTAACTTTTTTTAAATGATTTTAAAACCAACAAATTGTATTATAGGGTAAAATGTGTTTAAAAAATATGTCCGTCAAATTAGCGTCGCTCAGTTAGCATCGAAGTGGAACGGTGGAACTGGAACACAGCAACGAACTTTTTGCTTTTCAATTATCTCCGTATTTAGCCACTAAATTTAATCAAATAAACACTAGAATTGTTAAGAACTGAATAAACTATTGTTTTTCTTACTTTGGTTTGGTTTTTGGTTCTACACTCTTAAAATAGGTTTGAATGAATAGCTAGCTTTGGGTTTGAAAAATTGCCCCTTCACATACAAAAATGACCCCAACAAATTGTTTTATGCACGGTAGTGCAGTCGATGTGGGACCTTTTCAAGTATGTATGGACCAAAAATCATACAAATCGTTCCCACAGATTTTGAGAAAATCGAATTACAGTTCCTCATATAAATTGACAAATAAGAGAAGTGCCAACTATTAAGTCCTTCACAGAGATGCGCCAAATTCCACGGTATACCGTTGAAAAGCTTATTTTATTCAGAACATTATAAGACTATTTTTATTTAAATCGCTCCCACAGATTTAATGAAATCAAGTCCCGAAATTTTTAGACCCTGATTCACCAGTACCAGCATCACATATTTCTGTTATGGAATTTGAATGCCCACACTAGCTTTTTTTACAGAGGATGCGCCATTATGCACGGTATACCACTTGAGAGCTATTTTTTAGGCCATTCGAATGGTACCTGTCCCATTAATATCCTGAAATTTTCGGACCCTGGTTCGCCAATACTGGCCATTATCATTGTACGTCCAACATACATACATCTATGGAAACAACGATCGTGGATGCTGCAAAAATGGTAAGTAAATTTATTTTTGACTTTTTTTATTTTTGAATTTTGGACTTTGCTGCGTGATCTTGCTACGAAGGACTTTGATCTTCTAGCATACATAAGTCTCTTAATAGTTGAAAAGTTTTGCCGTTCGTGACCATATGTTGACCAAGCGTTTCCTTATACGGGCTCGTGTTTATGTCCAGATGAACTCCAGATCGTAGAGCGCAGTTGATTCAGGCCACTAGGAGGCCTCCGCGAGGATTCGGATGGATCGCCAAACGCCGAGAGCTTTCTCTTCCAGTAACAGGAAGAGAGTTAAAACATACATTAAAATAGACCGCTAATATACATATGTGCATGCATAACTCTCTGCCCGTTTTACCTATTGTTACTTTACTTACTTATATGTATATTTTTTTTTTGAACGTTGCTTTTATTTCTTCAATCTTCTCTTTGCGAGACTAACAAGAGGTGTATCAAATCTTATATTTTTAACTTCACTAACAGTCATATTGACTGATACGGAGTTAGACGGCCCTAAAAATCAATTGCTGGGTTGGGAGGTCGTTGCGTCTAAGGCGGGATACGCTAGAAACCCCCGAGCGAAATTTGGGTGCGAAGACAGTTTTTCTTTGTATGACTCTTTTTGCTTATGGATTTCGTCTTTCACTGCCAGGATGCCCAGATTCCGGTGGATGTTTTCGTTGCGAACATACCAAGGTGCCCCTGTGATAGTTCTCAAGATTTCTGATTGTGCGCGCTGTATGATGTCTATGTTGCTGCTGCTCGCGTTCCCCCACAGCTGGGAGCCATACGTCCAGATTGGCTTTAGGACTGAATTGTATAGTAGTAACTTGTAGTCCAGGCACAGTGGCGATCGTGAGTTTATGATCCAGTGGAGGCTGCTGGCTTTCAGTTTTAGGTGCATCTTTTTGTGCATTCGTGCATTCGCTGTGCTTACGCCAGGTAAGTCGTCTATCAAGGTGGACTCCAAGGTACGTTACTTCGTTAGCTTGAGGGATTTGCATACCGTTTAGTAAAAGCGGAGGGCATGTTTGTCTGTTAAGAGTAATTGTTATATGTTTACACTTTCGTTCGTTGGTTTTAATGCGCCAGTTGGACAGCCACCTTTCCAATATTATGAGATGATTAGCCAGTTGGGTTGTTGCCTGCGTTTGGCATCTGGAGCGACTAAGGATAGCGGTATCATCGGCGAACGTTGAGGTTGTTAGTTGTGCGCTCGTTGGAATATCCGCAGTATACAAAAAGATATAGACACGGGCCGAGTGCGCTTCATTGTGGAACTCCAGCTTCGATGGTGTAGTCGCCCGAAGTAGCTGCATTGCACCTCACTGAGAACACTCTATTGTAGAGATATGATTCCAGTAGCTTGTCGGTGTATGTTAGCAAATGGTTTCATGGTTTCTTCGGAAGCCAAATTGGTGTGCCGGGATAATATTGCAAGCTTCCAGAAGTGGTATTATGCGAGTTAACACGCATTTTTTAAACAATTTAGACAAACAAGAACTAAGGCTTATTGGTCTGTATGATGACGGAATTGCGTGGTCTTTTCCAGGCTTCGGTATCATTATAATGATGGATTTCTTCCACTTTTTTGGGAAATAGCCAAGATAAATGATTCCATTAAATAGTTTGCAGACGACCTCTATAGCGCATTTTGGAAGTTCGATCAGCATCTTTGGGGTCAATAGGTCACCACCGGGAGCCTTTTTTGGTTTAACCCTCTTATGACTTTTCCGATTTCGTTCGGCCGGAATGAAGGTGCGGCTGGCTGAGGGGAGGACTCTGGCTGAATGTCTGGCAGGAGGAATGAATTTGAGGCTGGGTTTGGCTGGAAAAAACTTCGTCGGTCTTCGTCGCTGCGAGCCCAGCATCCCGAAGACTTTCTTATGGGTGGGCCCCCACAGGTTGTACTTTGTGCTTGTTGGCGAGAGATTCTGGATGTACCTCAGCTGTGCATTTTCTTCCTGTTGGTGAAGAGCCTGGTCGAGTGATCGGGTTGCTTCCTTAAGGCCTTGTTTTGAAGCTGGTAATCTGCTGTTTTGCAAATCACGAAGCGTGCGCCTCTTTTCTCGCACGAGCTGTTCGATTTGCTGATTAGATTTGAAGTATTTGTTTCGGTTTACTTCTTTCCCATGAGGAGGAGAGATTTTAGCTGCCGCAACAAGTACTTCTTCCAGGGAGCTCGTGGTGTAGTCGATATCCGATTCCATGTTAAATTCCGGGGCGAGTTCTATGTGTATTTTAGCCAGTTCGTTTTTGGCGTCGTCAGGCTGAAGGGGTTATTTCTGGGCTTTGAAGAAGCGTTAGAAGCACAGGTGAGTGGTCTGATGATAAGTCCGAGACTGCTTTGGCACTTATTAGATTGCGAGGTATGTTTTTTGTCACTGCAAAATCAATAAGGTCTGGGAGCTTTCGTGAGTCTGTTGGCCAGCGACTTCCAGGGAAAACGTAGTCCAGTTTATTTTTCACATTTATAATTGCATTGTACAATTGGCTTCCGTTGGGAGTCACTAGACGTGATCTCCAGTGCGTATATTTGGCATCGTAGTCTCCTGCCGCTATAAATCGTTCCCCAAGTGAATTGTAGAAGTCCATAAATTGTCCTTCCGAGATTGAGAAACGAGGAGGGCAGTAAACGGCAGCGATTGAAAGGATTCCGTTGCTTGACTGAATTTGTATCGATGTTGCCTGCAAGAAGTTTGTTGCAAACCTTTTGTGAAAATGGTGTTTAATGCGTTCTCTGATTAGAACTCCAGTTCCGCCGTGGGCTTTCCCATCTGGATGATCTGTGCGGCAGATTGTATAGCCTCTTATATGAAAGTGGTATTTGCTTGTAAGATGCGTTTCCACCAGTAGCATAACGTCAATATGGTTTTCGGTCAAGAATTGTGACAATTCTTGTTTATGCCGCGATACACCATTGGCGTTCCGCATTGATATTCGTAGCGCCTGCAGAGATTATTTAGACTGTTGTGCTACAAGCAGCTGTATCACCATGTTCTGGTTTTGAACAATCGCTTTTGACCTTTTTTTTAATTAACTCCTGTCAAAATTATTTATTATCTCGCTGCTGAACTACCACCCATTTACAGATTTGAATTCGTACAGCTAAAGAGTTAGCCAAATCCTTCGCGTTCAGACTTCCAACTGCTTCACTCTTACCTCTTTCATGCTCATACACTAAAACCAGCTACAGTAGAATCTATTCTAAATATATAAAGCTTGGCGCTATTCAAACTTTACAAAATAACTGTTCCAGCAATTATATTGCCCAGGAAATATTCTCCAAAATCGAAAATTGTCCTATGCTTCCAAAGGTTGTAGTTCACCACATACCCAGCCATGCAAATATTTGGGAAAACGAAATTGCTGATAGAGCAGCAAAGAACGCTTCTATACACGGCTCCTTCAAATATGTTAGATGGACATTGAGTGATGCGATCAACTATATATTTCATTACATTCAAGATGATTGGGAAAGAGACTATAACGTATTCTCTATGGAACTTTTGGCCTTTCATCACCAAGAAACCTAGGTTTTATAAAACTGATATTTTCGACCGTATAGACACAAGACGATTAAATAGAATCCTTAGCGGACATGCAATAAGTACACTTTATCAAAAATGAAAGTTTTTGATAATGCTATTTGCGACACATGCAATGCAGTGAAAAATATTTCACATCTTATTTTAAATTGTTCAAAATACTCAAGCATTTCCAACACTTTCATTTTCCAATAAATATAATGATATTTATCGCTTCTTTGCAAATGAACCATTCGACAACTACATATCGATATATATACATATACTACATATATAAAAAAAAATTTTCGCTAATGCAAGCGCAATTTTAAGATCTCCTGAAATGAGATTTCATACATTAGCTGTGGCGTTAACCCGTTCACACGGGGAGGCCAAATAATTCTTCCACTTCCACTCCAGACTAGACTTAGAGACTAACAATTCAAATTAAAAACAACTTCAAATTCATTTGAAATCCAATCAAATCCGTTAACACCGGCCCCGTTGAAGGCCGGTCCGGCTTCGACCCACTCCGGCTTTCCGGTCCGGCTTTCCAGGCTTCGGTATCATTATAATGATGGATTTCTTCCACTTTTTTGGGAAATAGCCAAGATAAATGATTCCATTAAATAGTTTGCAGACGACCTCTATA